TGGAGGGATGAGCTACTAGAAAATTAATTATCTTCTTTCTGCCTCTCTTCAAGCCTCTTTGTGCCATTTATGGCAGCTTTGGAGTCCCTCCCTTACTGCTCACTTTCTTTTTGGAGCTTTGTCCTTAATTTTTAATGGTACAATTCAGTATCGGCAGCAAGAAACAAAACAAAATAATACACAAGAAAAAAAAACAGAGAAAATTTCCATAGCTCTAGAGCAGAGAAGCAAGTAAGCATGGTTGGCAGTAGAGGCATGGGAAGAAGCTGAGATGTGGACCTTACATTTGTATTTTTACAGTAACAATAAAACCCCATTGAGGGAAAACCTCTGGTCAAGAGAATAGAATCCATGGCCTGGGTGGAATCCAATATTCCAGTAGGGCTGGATCAATCACTTGGCAAGGAAGCCACCTCTAGGAAGGCAGGCTCTCCCCACATGCCATACTAAAAAGATAGGGAGGATGAATAGCCCTTTAATGAGATCCTGTACTTTTCCTTCCCAGAGTCCCACCCATAGTGCAGTGACCTACTGCCATGCAACTTCCTAAGTCTGCCCACTTTGCCTTTTCTTTTTTCTGTCTCTTTCCTAAGCATGCTTTCCTTACCAGTTTGGGTGTTGTCAATATTTCTGGCTTCTTTATTCTTTCTCTAAGGCCTCCTTGCCCTGTATTTAGCTGCTGGTCCACCATGTGACTCACCTCCATGCCAGCTTAAATGGCATGGCTTTTCCCTCCTCTTCTCCATTCTCCCCTCTGGACAGCAGGTGAAGTACGCAGCATGCCTGCTCTGGGGTTTTATTTTTTTTTAATTCCAATAAAAAAATGTCACTAGCTTCCATTTGAGCCCATTTCTGATTTTTTTTTTTTTTTAAGGAGACTAATAACTCCAACAGAGGACCCTGATTTCCCTCTATCAATGTGGTTGTGGTTCAAGACCCAGCACTACTCCTGGCTCACTGAGGACCATGGCAGGCCCCCAACTTCCCAAACTACAGTTATGGGTTGCCTAATTTGCAAAAGGAAATAACAGTCAATGCACTGCTGCTTCCCAGGGTTTGTTGGGTGGGGGAGTCAAATGAGACGGAGATTGTGAGCATCTTTGAACAGTACTAAAAAAATGTGTGCAATCTGTGGCAGGCATCCCTATTATGACACACCAACTTAGGTTGTCATAGTCTAGCTGGCTACTCCAGGGAATTTTCTCCATCGCTAGCTCCTGAAATTTATCAAACAATGCCTGGCTTCCTTCCCCACCCCTGTCTGCTTACAGAGGCTTTAGGATCCCATGTTCAGATGCTGATCCATTTGCTGAATCACCTCACAGATAAACACCCCCAGTGCCTGCAGTGTCTCAGCATGCTAATTGACGGGGCTGAAGATAACTAAGTCATGATTCTTGTTGTCCTCTAGGAAGAGCTAGCCTTAGCAGCTCAGCCACTCTCAAGCTAGTAAACCCCTGACATGACAGGAGCTCAGACACTGGTATCAAGCAACAACTGCACCTTTGTGTTACCACATCTGTATGATGTTGTTCTTTCAGAATGTCACAGCCTTTTTTCCCCATAGTTACTATCCAAGGCCACCATCATTTCCCCAATTAGAAAAATAGAGGTATTCTCATTTGTCTCCTCCTTGTTCAAAGCATTAAGGACCAATTCTCACCATTGCCCTTGGACAATATCTCCTAGGTGCCTCTTCATTTCTCCAGGCAGATCCATAGTCCAAACTCATGACACTGATTCGATTACTGGGTGCAACTTGTTCCTTGTTCCTCTTGCTCCCTCATTCCCCACCTCCCCAGCCCTGCAGTATATCCTTGAAGAGGTTGCCTAGTGAATTTTCCTACTGAGACGAAGCTGACCAGCAGCATAATCCTTCACTGCTCTGGGTTTCTTTTGCACTCCTTATACAGTCTGGACGACATTATTACACAGGCTTAGGTGGTAGCATAAAATGAACTCCTTAGTGGCCAAGAAGTACCTGAGGAAACAATGGCTGAATTTTAATGAAGGTGGCTTATAAACAGGTAGCCTTGGGACCCAGTCCCATCTGACACATGGAAAAAAAGGTGCCCTTTACCATAGTCTACAAGGCATCAAGAACCATGACAGAGCATCTCTGAGGCCTGGACACTGCAGAAGAAATAAAATAAAAATAAAAAACAAAGCTAGATGCTGCAAGGGACACCGTCCCTTTTGCTAATGGCACCCAGTTCATAGCAGTAATGAGATATTAATATTGTCAAATAGACAGAAGATAAATAAATATTTTTTTAAAAAAGCAGACAAGTTGCATCTCGGAAATTTTTCAGTTTTTCTTATTGTAAAATCAATACCCATCAGCAGTTTGAAATTAAAGGCAAGATTAGGCCTCAGTTTTCTACATGCCTTATTGTATTCCAAAAGCTTTCTACTCGGTCAGATAAATCTTCTTTAAGAGGATTAGGAAACTTTCATTATCTTTATCTAACCTGAACTAACACCGAGTCTGAAAAATTAATCTATAGACTGGACAAAAGCCGATGGCTGCTGGGAAGATAGAGGACCTTGGCTTCTCTCTCACTGAGTAGTGAGAGCAACAGGGTTGCTGCATCTGCCCCCTGAGGATTCCGCACTGCTCACCAGGATGGGCAGAAATGCCCTTGCCCGGCTCATGCTCTTGGCCTCTCGCTTAATGGAAAATGCCATGTGTGGAATGTTCTGGTAGCAGAGCATCCCTATCCTCCAGCCACCTACTGGCTTGTTTTTATACTCCATAAGGTCCTAGGAGGCCAGAGCTAGGTAGGGCTGGGCCTTGGATATGGAGAATGGGAGGAGATGACTTCTATGATAGGGAAGCTGTTGGCCCTGTACCCCAATTCTCACACTCTCCATGAATCTTCCTCTCCCCCCCACACACACCTGATGACATTTTAGGATTCCACACCACACTCTAGGAATTACCCAAAGAGCATTGTAGAGGCATCATTCTTGAAACCACTTCCTGTGAGCTCCAGGTGACCTGTCTCAGTTCTCACATACTTATATGTTTGTCTTGTTCTGTTGATGCCAACAGCCTTGTTCTGTCCCAGTTTGTTTCTCTACAGCACCTGACAGCTTCTTTTTTTTCCCTTTCATTTCAGCACCACACCCTCTGGATGTGAAGACAACTGTGCTTTGAAGGCCATGGAGGTGTCACCTTCAAGGCTGAGAATCTTAGCTCCTGTGGAATCAAGCCTAAGTGGCAATCAGATATTGAAACATTTCAACCCATCTTCAATCACTGATCTCACCCAGTGTCTCCACTGTCCTTTGAGAGGGGACATGTCCATTTCTTTAGTTCTAGATAGCAACCAATCTTGAGTCTCCAAGCAGTTATCCTTACCCAATCCCCTACCCTCTGGGTGGTACATCGATGTTGAAACCAGCAACATCTGTAAATGCCCATGTCATGACAGGCTCTTTTGAATCTCTGAAATCGTGTGGGGCAGAGAGAAGAACCAACAGACTGGACAGAAGTCAAGCTTTAGTATTGTGTCTCTCAGAAGAGCTGTGGAGGAAGACAAGTTAAGACAGACGTATCTCTGGCCCGATACATCCATTGCAATGTGTCCCCAGAGGTAGATGTGGATACTAAGCTGGTAATGGCTCCTCTGTCCAGAGGGAAAAGTGGGCATCTGGAATGGTTTAAGTGATTGAGTGTGAAGAGACACTGACTCCCATCTACTATGTTCTATGAAACCAACTGAAATGAGTTACATCTTATTAACACAAACAAACAAACAAACAAACAAACAAAAATACCTCCTGGCTACAGAAGGGTTGTATTCACATTTCACAATATAAAAATAAAAAGGAGGCCAGGTGGTGGTGGCGCAGGCCTTTAATCCCAGCACTCAGGAGACAGAGGCAGGTGGGTCTCTGTGAGTTCGAGGCCAGCCTGGGCTACAGAGTGAGTTCCAGGAAAGGTGCCAAAGCTACACAGAGAAACCCTGTCTCGACAAACCAAAAATAAATAAATAAATAAAAATTAAAAAAATAAAAAGGAACTCAAAAAATCTATTGAGTCTGTGGCAGATGGAATTAGATAAACTGAAACTGATAATAACAGGCCCTTTTCTGAGAGCTCAGTGGATATCTCTAAGACACCAGCTGGATGCTATGAGAGAGGACAACCCAAGCTTCTCAATTGGTAGAGGAAGGATGTGCCATTGGTGATGGAGTTCTTCTGTTTGTGAGTTCATTCTTACCATAATAACATAATGCTTTAAGCCATGATGACAATTGGGATAATTCAAAATAAGTTTATTTTGCTTGCCTTGCCTTAACATGGTCTTCAAAATCTTATGATTGCTTTCTGCAGGTCTTTCTGACTCAAGATCTTTTATCTGACATCTGAGACTATCTATTTTTAGTTAGAAAGTATAATGGAAATTAAAAACCATCAAAAAACACATGTGATACTATGTTTGGGCTAACCTAACTCAGATTTTTGAAGAATGGACAATGAACTCTTTCTGCTCCTTTTAGCTAGATGAATTTATTTCCACCACTGGCTTGGAGACACCGTCCTGACAAGTTCTCTCTTGGCTCCACTGTGGGGCTGGGAGGAAAGAGAAACACAGCAGGACCTAACTGGCTAGAACTCAGCATCGTTCTAGAGCTCACAGGCCAGCTTCACATCGATATCAGCCTTTTATTATGAAACAAGCCTTAGAGAAATAAAGGCCTCTGTGATTAATACTGCATTTATCTGTGTTTGAATCCTGCACCAGCTTCAAATGCTAAGTTTCTTAAGAAAGTTCAACCTTATATGCACAAAAGCTTCCTGGTGAGAACAAAGGGCTAGAGAAATAAAGAAAAAAAAATGAAAAACTTCTAGAAGATTTGCAATTCTCAACCTATGGATTTAACAGAGGAAAGTGGCCTTTTGTGTCTTTATTCATAAGCACAAAGACCAAGGTTACTCTCCTGGTCCATTTCCAAAAGGAACAACAGCCCCAGGTCCAGCTGTCACTTACCTTGCACTATGAGGTGAACCCGGGAGGTTTTGGGGTGATTGTCTGTCTGCACAGAGCAGGTGTATGGACCTTCATCATATACATCCACATTCTGGATCATGATGCTGTATTGGGTAGGCGTGTTGACCAAGATGATCACTCGAGGGTCTATGGACCACTTGTCGTTCCCAGCATAGAGGATTGTGCTGCGGTTTAGCCAGGCTACTCTGGTGACCCGATCATCTATGGTACACCTGTGAGGGAGGGATGTGGGGAGAGGGTGGAGAGGGGACGAGGAATAGAGGAGAGAAGGAATGAGGGAGGGAGAGAGGGAGGGAGGAAGAGAGGAAGGGAGGGAGGGAGGGAGGAAGGGAGGGGAGGAGGGAGGGAGAGAGGAAAAAGAGAGAGGTTATACATGCGCTATTATATGGCAAGGAGGAAATGAAACAGCAACAATACTAAACGAAGACAATCAATTATTAATGAAACTTTGTGAACACAAGGCAAGAGAGGCTTGACTCACCCAGAAGAAGCCATGATACAAAATCATTTCTCCTTGATTTAGGAACATAGTATATGAATATCTTGCTGGCACATTGCTTTTCCTCTTACTTCACCCTCAGGCTTATATGAAAATTAGTTTATATTTCTTGAGCACATTTACCACATTGCGGTAGCAAAGACCCAGAGGCACAAGGGACAGAAAGTAGATCAGTATTTCAAATAGGTCACAGATAATCCATGAGCAAATACTTAACTTGTAGTTAATCAAGACTTGAACTTATTTACCTCAGACCTCCCAGGTGCTGGTAATCTCCTTGTGCCCCTAAGCTGCACAAAGATGAGTAAAATTCACCTCAGAAAACCAGGACTTTCTTAGGCGCTCCCAGCTACCTCTGAAGATTGCAGGGGAGGTGAGATTCTCAGCAGTTCCCCTCTTCCTTTCTATACTCCTCCCTCAATCCCAGGACTGTGGCCTGTAATCAGAGAGAACCCTTCAGCCAGTCTCCCCAGCTATGCCAGGCTGGGAATGCAAATGACGATTGCTTGTTGCTGTGTGTAACCTGCTGCTACCAACGCCCAAGGGAGAGACAAACCTGCCTGTAGCTGGGAAGAGCATTGGCAGATGTGCCCCAGGAGCTAAGAACATGAGAAGAGATGCAGAAGGACCCAGAATGCAATGCGAGAATGAATGTGCTCTGAGGGGCCAAAGATGTGCACATCCACAGCCTATGGCTGTGAGCTCACATAAGAGATTGGCAGCAGAGCTGGTGCCCTGGCATGGACAGGAGATGAATGAGTCTTAACGTCCGGGTAAGAACAACAAGGCTTCCCGCACAATCTAACTAACGCTAGGTGGGTTGCAGAGACGCTCCAAGCAGGTTGAAGAGAAAGATGACTTCCTAAGAACACAGGCTGGCAAAGAGGCCAATTTCCAAGACGTTCAGGGGCCACACTGAATACAGGTGACAAAGAGCCACCGAAGATGCTGACTTTTCTTTTGGCCAACTTTGTAACCTTCAACATATCTGTAAACTGATTCAGTTAAACTGTAGCTTCAAATCATTCACTTTGGGTCTATAGAAACAATTCACTTTAAAATAAACCTTCCAGAGAATTTCTTTGATGGGGGAGAGAGAGGGAGAGTGTGTGTGTGTGTGTGTTCAGTGGAATTTGAACACTATAGTGATTGATAACCATGATAATCTACCTTCAAAATTCATGAACAAGCTCTTCTCTAAAAGTCATAAGTATATATTGTTCCTTTTTGAACTTGAGGTTATTCTTCCATTATATGTCCTCAGCAGGATGTATTTTATGCTTGAAAACATTTTATTGATCACCTATCATATTTATCTGTAACAAAAATATATAGAGATTGAATTTCAAATTTCTTTTATGTCCTTTGACTATAAAACCCCAAGTAATAATATTTGCTTTTAAAATGAGTTATCACTACAAATGTAAAATTGGCAAAACAATATAGATAGCTTGCACATTTTAAGTAATAATTAACCATAAAAAGTTAACTTGAACTGTAAATATGGAGCTTAATCACGTGGGTAAGCCTGGTTTTTCATAGCACAAATTAAGAAATCATTTACTTCTACAATGAGATAGCATTTAGGATCATTTCTATCCTACTTTTACTTTTAAAGAAACCTTGTTCATATAAGCACAAAACTTGCAATAAAAATCTCCTATAGCAATGACACTGAATTCTCTGAATGCCTTCCAAGATATATGGCAAAAACTGCACAGTAATATAGATTCAAAAATTATTTTGATAGTCTCACAGCTGACCGTTCAATTAGCTCCTCTTTCAATTCCTTTTAAAGCAACCAACTGAAAAAAATACATGATTTGCAATGGGGTTTGTAACCCAATACTACATTCACTCAGTTTCTCAGTACCTGGATAAAGGGTACTGATAACATCTTACCAGGGCTCATCCAATGTCTATTATAGACATTCTACTCTTTCCCTAGAAACATCTGGTTTAACTCACTATGCTCAGAAATACTGTTGTCATATGTTAAGTCATGCTGCCCTCTATGAAAACCATCTCTTTGAGCTCTGGTTCAAGGGCAGAGGACTCAAGGTGTTGCTCTGAATTTTGCTACTGCTGTGAGAATAAGCCTTTTCTGCTTTACTACTGTGGGGCCTTCCTCAAGGATAAGATGCTGTTGGTAAGATAACAGTGACAGAGATATTAGAGAAAATACTGTCTCCCGTATGATTGTGACAGGGGCATACTCCAAAGAGAGGCAGTCCATAGGTACTCAGGACAGATGGAGAGAATTACACATCTTGAAATCCATTTCTCTATAAGCTATTATTGTCTTCATATGGGACCAGCAACTGCAGACTGAGTATGCACATAGCCCCTGCAAATTACTACAGCTGTAGCAGAGATGTGTGATTTGATATTTATTAATCCAAACCCATCCTTTCAGGGAAGAAGAGAATCCAAGTATCCTTAAGGGTCTGGTGCCCTTGGGTAGATACATCCCAGTGAAAAGTCCTGTCTTCTTTTACTTTCTCTTTAGGTGGGTCTCATCCATGGATATGAAGTACAAACAGAAAGGAATATCTGTGGAACGCCAGAGAAAGCCGTTCTCAGAATCTATGAGCAGGAGAGAAACCCGGTGGACTGGTGGGGTTGGCAGAGGAGAGCAGCCTTCTGCATGACGGCTCTTGGCTTCTGGCTCCTGGCTTCCTCCTAGCACCATATGACTCTGCTCTGTGTGGTCCTATGAACAGCAGGGCAGGAAACTCAGGAAGGATTTGAACAGTGTGCTTAAGTGATCTTCAAAACCTGGGCTCTTTCCCTGTAGTTTGAGGAAATGTGCTGGACCCTCTTTAGCAAGGAGCACAGAGGGGAGCATGTTTGATGATAAATAAGAGAAAGTGATAGACAAAGTGAGGAAGGTTAAGGACAACTTTCTGATGTCTTGAAAACTCCTAAACATGTGAAATCTTTACAGTCCAAACCAACCCTACCTAGCAGTCCTTGGTGGAACAGAACTCATTACAGCTGTGTTGTAGAACTTGCGAGCTGTTCCGCTAGAAGCACTTGGGAGAAGTTTTCACCTCTTGTGTCCATTCCACATAACAACCTTTGAGAAACCATTTGTATTACCCATAGTTCACAGATAAGGAAGTGGAGGCACAGAGATATTCAGTAACTAGTCTCCATGAACAGCTGGGTCAATGAAAACAGGGGACTCACACTCAGGCAGTCAGTGATGGGCATCCTCATATGAAGCTTTGATAATCTCAGGACTAAAGCCAGAAGTGTTTGGCTGGCTGTATTTAATCACAGTTGCACAAATCTACAGCACTTAATGTTTTCCATAAACGACAAAATAATTGAAGAGGAAAGGAAAGCCATTTAGTCCCATCTTTTTTGTGTCATTAAGCTACCTGTAGTGTGAGGAAAAGTGGGGAGAAATAAGAATCAGGGTGAGCCAAGAAATGCCTGAAAGGTACCTTGGGGACTGGAAGGCTAATGTCACTTTCCAACTCTACTGAGTGTGAAACAGGAATTACAAGGGTTGTTTTTCTTAGTATTCTTTCTTTTTGTTTCTCATTTTCGGAGGTGAGACAGCAGTTCGGGCAAGCCTGCATCTGAAAACACAGGATTCCAGACTCTGTAAACATGAAAAACTTAGGCCACTAAAGCCTGCTCCCTTTACTTCCAGCCAGAGGGCTAGAAGGGCCTGAGAATATGCCTTTGGCAAGCTCCCCAACTGCTGCTCAGCGGACTCCCCCTTGAGCACTTCTTTCCTTCAGGAACTAGACAAGATGCTATTCTGAGTACACAGAAGGGAATACTAACTCCTCGCTTGGGCTACAAGATGACTAAGAGTAAGTTCAGAGTGGGCATCTCTGTCTTCACTTGGGATCTGATCACTTTACATTTGATTGCCTGCTTACTTCTACATAGAAGCATGCTCATCGTTCAAGTTGTCTGTGGAGAAACCATTGTTATCTACCCAACATCTTTCTCTTTCAAGGCCGAAGAAACAAACATCGGAAGCTGGGCACTGTCAGATTTTTACAGTTTCCTGTTCCAGATTCCCAAAGGCTCTTGAACTTCTTAGATCATTGTCCTAAAACTTTAGTTTCCCTAGGTTTCGGGAACAGCAAAGGCTCCCAGGACAGCCCACCTTCCAGATAAGAAAAATTACCTATGGTTTCCAGGAGGAACACTAGAGTGGTGGCAATCACTTCCTGAGGACAAGGTCATCCCCTCAACCAGTAAGGATTTCTTCAGACCTCTTTGCTGAACCAGATGTGACAATGATTGACCAACTGGCACTCATGGAAACTAATCCTGCTCAGTTATGCACTCATGGAAACTAATCCTGCTCAGTTATGCACTCATGGAAACTAACCTTTCTCAATTAAGCATTCATGGAAACCAACCCTACTCAGTTATGCATACTTCTAGTCCCTCCTCCTCTTTAAGCGTACATCCCATGCCAGGACCTGAACAAACTCAGGCCACTGGACCCCCTTCTCTGTGCCTTTCCCATGTACATTGATTACATCCTTCCCTTCTGCTTTTCACCATCACTCCTGTCATTAGTTGAATTACTGAGAGGTAGGCAAGCCTAGTTTGTTGAGGCTGCTGAGAGGTAGGCAAGCCTAGTCTGTTGGGGCTGCTGGTGCCGGATCTTTTATCTTGAAAACTTCATTTATAGCACATGCTAAAATTTTTGTCAAAAGACTCCATTTCCTGAAATGC